GAGACATTTGATTTGTTTGATTTATTTTATATTTTAATTTATTTTGCCTTTTAAATGTCTGTTATATAAGTCTTAATTAATTTAACTTTTTGCAGATTTTTTTTGTATTATTTCAATGTATTTTAGCTTTAAAGATGAAATGTAATGAAACACATGCATGCATTTCTTGTTAACCTTTGAATCATGTCAGGAAATGATTTCACGCTTTTATTTTTAGCTATCCACAATGACCCTGTTGTACAGTCTCACTTTTAGCAAGGGAGAAATAATAACTTTATCAGTTACCTGACACCACAACCAATTACTGACAAAAATGGCAGACTAATTAGTCCAAATGAACCCTCCAATCCAGCATCCATCACTGATCTGGTGTCAGAAATCTCACAAACCTACCAAAGGACGGAAAAATAGTGCTTGATCTAGTGCTCGTCCTTTGATCAGATCCGATCAGCGGTTCAGCTCTCATTAGTCAGCCATTAGTGACAGATTTAGGAGATCTGCCATTTTCAAACTAGTAACCTAGGTAACGTGGCGTTCTTGTTGATAGGAAGACTCTCCTACGCCACATTGTGTGACAGTTTTATAACTCAGGAACCCTCCATAAAGGACAAACCAGAGACATGTCAGGAAAACATGGAAGACTCTTTTCATTCATTCAGTTCATATGCTTCAGCAAGCTTACTAGATTACACAAACTATTTACTTCCACTAACTAACACTACAGCAAAGACTACAGAATGCACAAGACATGTCACTTACATAGATTTGAATGGGGAAAAGTGTAACGGTCAATATGGTGAATGAAGCCCGCCTACTAGTACAAGAGCCAATCAGCGATCGCTATAGATTGACGTTTCTCCAGTGGAAAAGCTTAGATCAGACGTGCGTTTTTACGACAGTTTGGTGGTCAACAAACACACTGGAATCCTAGTGAATACTTGCTTCACGAACATAAGAAATATATGCAAATAAAGCCTGAAATCTGAGCTTTAAAATGAACCATGTGCACTTGAAGAGATTTGTAATCTGTATGAAACAAACGCGAGGTACAGTCTGTCCTGTCAAACGCTCATCACATGACAGCAACTACTCAAACGCCCACAGACATGCAAACAAAGAGTCGCTGTCATTTCTGGAGGAGATTCACCATCAAGATCAAGTATTGAATTACATCTGAAGAGCAGTGCGATCAGACGAAGCGTTAAACAGAGGATGATCATGTGTAGAACAGCCTTAAATGAGGTCAGAGTCGTGATCTCGTTCCTTTCGAGTGTGCATGCTCATTAGCTTGGGCAAACTGAAAATATCAGGGCTCGAAATTAACTTTCTTACTTGGTAGCACCGGTGCTCCCAACCTGAAATATTTAGGAGCACCAGAAAAAAATTACGAGCACCAGAAAAAATGTAGGAGCACCCACGAAAAATGAGTGATATATATATTTGACAAGTTTGTATTAAGGGATTTATTGTATTTGAAAACAACATCAATTGGGACTAACAAAACCCAGAAACAACGATCTAACTAATGCTGTGATTAATTAATATTTGTGCAATAATTCCAGAATGAATGTTGAATAATTATAAAATATTAATGCTGACGATGATGACAATAATCCTAATAATGAATTATATTCCTCATCATCATGCTGCCTTGAATGTGCTTTAATGTGAGTTATCTGCTATATAAAGTCCTGCTGTTACTTTATGAAAATTAAATATATAGTTTGCATCAAACACAAATGAAGCATTGTAGTAAGAAATATTTATTTTGTACTATTGTTTTTATAGGCATTTCAATTTAATAAATAATATTTCTGCTACAAAACAAACTAAATAATATAATAAATCATTTAATTCAATGCTGAAAGCTGCAAAGCAGTCATCAGTAATTAAATAGAAAACTAATATACACCTCAAGAAAGAACGGACAAAAGAAAGAAAGAAAAGTCTCACTTTTAAAAGTTTTGGTTTCGGTTCGTGTCGTTTTAATGCTTAGCCTTGTTACGCTCTGAATAACATTTTTCTGTGTTTGCGGAAAAGCATGCGAGTCAGCCGGCCCAATATGAGGGGGGCAGAGCAGGATTCTCACGATGACCACCGGTGTAATACTGTTCTTTGTTATAACCTGCATCAGTTTAAACTCAGTAAAGGCGAGCTTCTTTGGCGATGGTAATTTAGCTGACATTTGCGCTGTTGCAGCCTGATCTCACGAGGAAACATATAAAAAAAGTTACGAATTGCCGTGAGATTGTGTTTGCTGAAAACGCAGTGCATGCAACGCATCGAGATTCAGTGTACTTTTCACACTTCAGCCGTTTGCATTCCCGGCGGTCACAAAAGCTCCCTCCCTGTCATCTGACAGCAGAAAGTCTTGAGTGATTGACGGCTAATATGAACCAATATAGCGGCAAGGAAGACCGATTTTTCCACGTTTTTAGAAAAAAAACAAAATAGGTCGCACTACAACCATTATATGCAGTCGCATGAATGCTCCCAATATATATTATGAGGTCGCACAGCTTAAATTTCGGGCGCAAAATGGTTGCAATTTCAAGCCCTAAATATGCCAATTTTGTTTGATCCACGCATTTAGAAATGAAACTTTTGACACAGTTGTTGTTTAATTTTATTGGCGATTACAAATATGTAATGTAATCCTAAGCTTAGCAAGCAGTTTTGGAGAATTTGATGATTCCCCATTCAGACAGAATGCCAAAGTCTTAGAGATGACACCCGAATCCGCCACTTTTTAATAATCATCCACCTGCCACCCGCCCGCACATATAGTATTATCTGATATATGTATCCGCACCCGATCGTCACTTTGATAATTTAATTCTTTGTTTTAGGCATGATAGGTCACCGTCAGGGTCGGAGCAAACTGAACTGGAGCTCTAGGCAAAAGATGATCATGCCGCCCTCATACCGAAAGCAAAAACGAGAGACGGGGTTGTGATTGCGGTACAACAGCAAGGACCAGGGCGGTGGGGGGATTGTCACGGATGAAAGTGGGGCCGGGGCGCCGTGGTGTCGCGGACGCTGTCTTCTCTATTCTGTCGCCCTAGCCGCCTGAGTCGCTTCTATGGACGCGCCGGCTCTGGTCACCGTAGATATTAACAGCAGATTCAGTGAGCTTTAATCTGCGCATCTCTGATAGTAAAATAATACGTTAATCTTAAACGTTTTAAATCAACATTTATTTATAAAAACAAAGGTTTGTCTTTAGACAACATTTTCTTCATTTTCAAATAGTGCAGACAGTAAAAATAAGACATTTTAGCTTTTACAGATGTCTTGGTATGGATGTATTGGTGGATGGAGGTTTGAATAAAATAACAGATGGATGGATGGATGGATGGATGGATGGATGGATGGATGGATGGATGGATGGATGGATGGATGGATGGATGGATGGATGGATTGGTGGATGAAGGTTTGAATAAAATAATGGATGGCTGGTTGGATAGATTGATGGATGGATGGATCAACAGAATGACAGAATATGGAAACATGGATGGATGGATGGATGGATGGATGGATGGATGGATAAATGGATGGCTTGACAGATGGATGGATGTTTGAATAAAATGGTTGATGGATAGAACAACAGAATTATATGATGAATGGATGAATGGATTGGTGGATGGAGATTTGAATAAAATAATGGATGGATGGATGGATGGATGGATGGATGGATGGATGGATGGATCAACAGAATGACATAATATGGATCGATTAATAGATGGATGGATGTTTGAATAAAATGATTGATTGATGGATGGATGGATTGGTGGATAGAGGTTTGAATAAAATAAAAGATGGATGGATGGATGGATGGATGGATGGAAGGATGTTTTAATAAAATGATTGATGGATGGATGGATGGATGGTTGGATGGATGGATGGATGGATTGGTGGATAGAGGTTTGAATAAAATAATGGATGGCTGGTTGGATAGATGGATGGATGGATGGATGGATGGATGGATATATGAACATAAAAACAGACTGACAGGACAATATGTCACTTCTCGCGTGTGTTTGGTTATGACACGTAGTTTGTGGATCAAGTTAGTTTTTGTCGGTGATACCTCCTACTGTAAAGTCATGCAGTGTGAAACCTCCTGTCGCTGATCCATCCTCCAGTGTAAACACAGCACCGACAGAAAGCTAACCCAGATCGTCATGCAGAGTGAAAACATCTGACTACTCTGAAAATCCTGCAGTCTGAACTCGAGATAATGGTTACTGAAATCAACAAATTGCTTAAAATTAAAGTCATCTTGGCGTTGTTAACAAAATAAATAAAACAAAATAAACAACATGGGAAAATGACATCGATTATAGGTTTTGGTTTCATCTTTGATGAATCATCAGCCCTAACAGTCCTATCATAACACTTGCCGACACTGCTGAAATCTCTCAAAACTACAGCAAACCATCTGAAAACCAGAAGAGTGGGTCTGCATACAGCACATGTGTACATCTATGCTACTTCTGTTCATTTAGTCAACATTAGGAGACTCTTGCATATATATAATAATGCTTTATTTAAATTCAAGATAATTAAAATGATTATGAGCCTAATATAAACCAACAACATGCATATACAAACATAAAATGCATTTTTACATTTGAAATCACACAAGTTCAAGATTAATGAAGCACTTACCTAGTTAAGGAGGAGAGCAAACAAAAATATATCAGATTTAGCTCATTTCTGTTTTGTCAATTTTCTCCGTAGAGTAAATGCAAACACACACACACACACACATGCACAATCACAAATGTTCAGGCTAATGCAGTAATCACATTCAGGTTAGCATTATAAGTGCTTACTCTAGATTACAGTTTTCCTAAATCTAGATTATCTCAGTGTTTTGTGGGTCATTAAGCCCAATTAAGGTCATAGACTTTCCTAGCTATGGTTTGGTCAAAGTTTTAACCCCGGCGTCACCAAAATAAGAGCATGAGTATGTAAAACAGATGTGTCTGTCCTAC